GTTTTCCCCCCCCCCCCCCCCCCCCCCATCTCATCTGCAGCTGTCTTCTCATCACTGTATAGAGACACAATATCTTAAGCATTAGCGTTGGCCCTGCATTTACAGACGGTATTGTGTGGATGGTGTGAGCTGCAGCCTGTAATATGAGCAGTGTGATCTCCTGATCCTGAATCAGTGCTGAATACTGATGAGCCACTCTGCCCTGCTGTAGTTTCTGGTGCGTTGGCTGGAGCACGACTGCAGATACCAGTACATGGAGGAACTGCTGCAACACGTGCGCTACGGCCTGATGGAGGTCTCCACCCTGCACTGTGTGGCCAACAGCCACCCCTTCCTCAACTCCGGCAGCACCGTCGCCGCCCTGGTGGAGGAGGCGTTGGACTACCACCGGTCCGTATTTGCACAGCCTTTATGTCAGACGGCACGGACCACACCCCGCTTTCAGTCATTGACCCTGTATATTGTCGGCGGGCGCAAACGGGAGGTCAGCCGCGTACGGGAACTGCGGTTCTTCAACCCTTCCGCGCAGGAGCACTTACGTGTTGCCGGGGGTTCGAACTGGAGTGAGTTGGCACCTATGCCTGCTGGACGAAGTCACCACTGTGTGGCTGTTATGGGCAACTTCCTGTTCGTGGCTGGTGGGGAGGTGGAACACGCCACCGAACGGACATGTGCGGTGAGGACGGCATGCCGGTACGATCCGAGGGTGAACCGCTGGACTGATATTGCACCGATGAAGGCATGCAGGGAGCACTTTGTGCTGGGAGCTCTGGGACAGTATCTTTACGCCGTCGGGGGGAGGAACGAACTGAGGCAGGTTCTGCCCAGTGTGGAGCGCTACTGTCCCAAGAGAAACAAGTGGACCTATGTGCAACCGTTTGACCGCTCGCTGTCCTGTCATGCAGGTTGTGTGGTGGACGGGCTGCTCTGGGTCTCAGGTACTAATACATTACTTCACATTTAGCCCAATATCAGAGGTTCTAGGCCCAAGACATAAAAGCATTACTAGAATCAGTTTAACATATAATGATGGCTCTTTCTGCTGCAGGTGGTGTCACTAACACAGCTCAGTACCAGAATCGACTGATGGTGTATGACCCAGGACAGGTAATATATTGGTATTTATGTGAGTCTAATGTAGTTGGGTAGTGCATCTTCCTCCTCTATAACCCCCCCCCCCAAAAAACATTATATATATATAGATAGATAGATAGATAGATATCAGAATATTAGAATCAGCATAATAGAATGATTTCTGAAGGATCATGTGACACTGACGACTGATGAAAATCGAGCTTTGCCATCACTGGCAAATATATTTTAAAACATTCTATAAATGTAAATATATAAACATAGAAAGCAGTTAATTTAAATTGAAATAATATTGCACAATATTTTTGTTTTTACTGTATTTTTGGTCAAATAAATATAGCACTGGTGAGCGTAAGAGACTTCTTTCTTCAAAATACAGACAATATGCTTGTTACTGCATTATTTTAGTTACTAAAAATATAATGTAACTTATTTTAATACATTAATATAAATATTAAATAAATACTGTAATGGTTGCTGGTTAAAAATTATTAATAATTAATACACCTTGATGTAGTTACCATATTATAGTTACAATGTATTATACATTATATTTTTGTATTACCAAGGGTTGTTTTAATAAGACATATTTTAGTGCCTTGTCAGCTAAATGATTGACAACAAAGTAAAAACATTATAACCTATTGAAAGGACTGTGCATCTATTTGTGAAAAATGAAATATGGCATCTACCCAGATTAAAGTCAGTGGTGTTGCATACGCCTGTAACATACAAACTGCATTTAACATCGAATGGAAATGAAATATTAATTCACATTGGGCAAATGCTCCAAAAAAAAAAAAAGCAGCAAACCCACCTCTACACACCACTGTAATTTATTAATGTTACATTTAAAAAGACATAAGAATAAGTATTGTAGAACTTCTGTGGTCACTGCAACTGTATTTTTCAAAGAGGTATAAAGAAAGAAGAAGGGAGGAAAGAACAGGAGGCAGAGGCTCATTGGTATTCAAAGTGGCTTTGCATTCACCTGCCAGGAACAGCAACCCCCCACCCACACTACCCTCAACAGATGGTCGCCAAACACACACGTGTATATTCACACTTTCACTCACCACTGCTCATGCAATCTCTGCGTATACACACACCTATCACAAATAAATGCACACACACATGCACTAGAATATGTTAAATGTTTCAATTAATTCTATAACTTAAAATGATTTAATTATTATTATTTACTAATGAAAGTGTTTCTCTTTCTTTTGTTATTCCCTCTCTGTCATAGAATCAATGGTTAGCACGCAGTCCCATGTTGCAGAGGAGGGTGTACCATGTGATGGCGGCAGTAAAAAGGCAGCTGTATGTGCTGGGGGGGAACGATCTGGACTACAACAATGACCGCATCCTGGTTAGACACATTGACTCTTACGACATAGATATGGACCAGTGGACACGCTGCACATTCAGTCTCCTCACAGGTCACTACACACACACACTCCATGTAATAGATATGTTTATTCAACTATTCTTGCAGAACACTTTTCCTTTCTTTAAAAGTTAGCATTTCTATATATATACTGTATTTGTTTTGAAGCACTACATTGTATTAGTGCTACTGGTACCCCTCTCAAAAGTACTAAGGTGATACCATAGTACAGTGATGGTTGAGGATAGTTAATATGGTACTGAATGATTCATATACTGTGATATTTACATGGTGCTTTAAAGGAACATTTCACCCAAAAATTAAAATTTGCTGAAAATTAACTCCCTCAGTCCCTTAATTAACCTTCAGGTGATCCAAGATGTAGATGAGTTTGCTGCTTCATTAGAACAGATTTGAGAAACTTATTACATCACTTGTTCACCAATGGATCCTCTGCGGTGAATGGGTGGCATGAGAATGAGACTGAAAACAGCTGATCATCACAATAATCTGGAAGTAGTCCACACGACTCAAGTCCATCAATAATAGTCTTGTGAAGCAAAAGATGTTTTTAACTTCAAACCGTTGCTTCAAATATGGCTAAAATATGAGTGCCTCTATCCATAATATTGCTTTCTCCAGTCATCAAGCATCGTTTACAAGTGAAAATGGGCTAAACCACCAAAAAAAACAGTTCTAAGCAAATATGTCAATGTCAATTATTATGAATTTTGGCCAGAAACAACTGTTTAAAGTTAAAATGCCTTAATGATGGATTTGTTTCTTACGAACATGTAGTTTTCATTTTACAAGACATTAATTGATGGACTGGAGTAAATTACTTGTGGATTATTGTGATGTTTTTATTAGCTACGATGGCACCCATTCACTGCAGAGCAGGGGCGGACTTACCCATTAGGCAAAGGTAGGCAACTGCCTTGGGCCCCCAAAAGCCAAGGGCCCCCTAAAATGCTTTTCATATAGGATATGCGCATTAAGCGTGGACACGCGAACGGTTTACGGTGTTTATTATCACGACAACCATCTGAGGCGCCTACAGGTGTACGGCTGTACGCACTGCGAGTACCATGAGCGCTCAGACTGATCTTATTTTAGGCAAGTCCTGATGATTTGAGAAGGCTAAATTGATCAAACATAGGCTATAGGCTATGATCAATTCACTGTCTGCTGCTGGCCTTTACTTAAAAAAACAAAATAACTTACATTTAACGAACAAAAAATACTCCAAATGTTTTTCTAAATTTACTTGATAAAATAACGAAACAAAATATAATCACTTATCCATTACATACAAAACTGAACTATTGTAATAGCTGAAACAGTAGTATAAGTAGGCGACCGCCTTGGGCCCCCAAAAGCCAAGGGCCCCCTAAAATGCTTTTCATATAGGATATGCGCATTAAGCGTGGACACGCGAACGGTTTACGGTGTTTATTATCACGACAACCATCTGAGGCGCCTACAGGTGTACGGCTGTACGCACTGCGAGTACCATGAGCGCTCAGACTGATCTGAGTATTGCCCCGCAAACATTTCAGCAGTTATTATAGGCCTGTGTGTCCCGTATTTCTGTCGACTGAACCCATGCCGTTAATTATGAATTATCAGTCTTTTGCATGCCAAAGTCAATTTCTGCATAGAAATATTATGCCAAATAGAAGCAGAAAATCGTGCTATACGCACTTTCATGAGATCGGGTTAGCCTACAACAATTAATTTGTTGGCTATTTTACAAATGGGAATACAACGAATTCATGACAATTTTTACATTCAAGCTACCCGTAAAATGTATAGTGAAAAGTACTTTAAAAGCATCTGGAATGCAATAAAGTAATATTAAAGCTGTTTTTTTTAAGAGCCACTTCTTGGCCCAGTCCCAAATGGTGCACTTGATGTGAACCTGTGGTCCGTCAAGTACACAAGATTGCAGGTTGTCCCATTTATAATTTTTACATAAAAAAAGGTTCAGGTTCATACCTCACAGTGAACTTTACTTAACAATCCATGCAGAATAAATCCAAAGAAATACGCAAGAGTGGCATTTGGGACATGGCCAAAGTGTTAAGGACCTGTTTTCATAGATTCTTAGGACTCCATCCACTCTCCATTCAGACCAAATGTTGTGCCGCTTTTATCCACATGTCATTTCTCAGCCTGTGACAAACTGTACTTTTATCAAAACTCAGGATGAAGACCGTACAATTGTTTACTGAATGTGTATGACCACAGCTGACGACAAATGCACACAATCTGCGTCAATGGCGGCATCTTCACTGCTCTCCACCCCACCCCCAGAAACCCATTCCATAAGAAAACATGTAAGGGCACACTCTTTTTTTTTTATTTTTATGTGTAGCTTCGTGTAAAATGTATTATTTGTACAGCGCTGCCCGTCTTGCAGCTGACACTGGCATGCAGCTGAGGTGACATGAATGCATTTACACTGCTATTATAATTGCATATACAATATTATGAGATTATTGGTTTAAATATGCCATTTTGAATATAGATATAAAAATGGTTGAAAATATGAAATGTTTTAAATATAAAACTAAAACCGACAGTAGGTGGCAACAGTCACCAATGTAAGTCATTGAATCATTTAATTTGTTCAAAAGGACTGATTCATTCAGGAACCTCCAAGGCCCTGTCCCAAATGGCACACTTCATGTGCACTTATGGTCTTGTGGACTTACAATGGCCGCCATGTGCACTTGTCCGTTAAGTCCACGAGACTGTAGGGTGTCATTTGAGCTTTCAGAAGGGTGCTGCGAGTGCCCCCTTTGCAGTCGCTATATACGCCCGCGTTGCGCATTTCTGCCGTCACAAAAGTGTGGACCCAGAGGAAGACCGCAAGGGTTTAGGGTGCGATTTGGGACAGGGCCCAAGTGACTGACTGGATCTAAATGGATTAAATCATTTGCTCAACCAATCTGTTCAAAATTGGATTTGTTCAGGAAGATTATTGGTTTAAATATGCCATTTTGAATATAGATATAAAAATGGTTGAAAATATGAAATGTTTTAAATATAAAACTAAAACCGCCAGTAGGTGGCAACAGTCACCAATGTAAGTCATTGAATCATTTAATTTGTTCAAAAGGACCGATTCATTCAGGAACCTCCAAGGCCCTGTCCCAAATGGCACACTTCATGTGCACTTATGGTCTTGTGGACTTACAATGGCCGCCATGTGCACTTGTCCGTTAAGTCCACGAGACTGTAGGGTGTCATTTGAGCTTTCAGAAGGGTGCTGCGAGTGCCCCCTTTGCAGTCGCTATACGCCCGCGTTGCGCATTTCTAAATTCTACTGTTTGCCCGAAGATGCGTTCTGCTATTTTTGTTTGGAGCTTTTTTTTGCAGGGAAAATGGAGCAAAAACAGACAATAGGTGCATCCCAAGTCCCGTAGGTATGCACTATTCTATGTTTTGTAGTATAAATAGTGCGAGTAGTGTGTTCACACTGAAAATTCAAAAAGCAAAAGTGCACTTTAAATACCCGGACGATGCACACGATGCAGTAACCAAAAAAAACGTGTGAAATATTGGACACTTCATGCACTCAACTGTCGCAGCTTTATGTCGTGAAGGGGCTGTCAGACTCTGATTATTAATGACAAAACATTATAAAATTCATACACTTCATGGCTGAGTACATGGGACGCAGTTACGGTGTCTAAAATATAAGTCACTTAATATTAACTTGTTTACCTAACTATTGTATACAATTAATATATTTGCCACCAGGGCCGTCCTTAGCTGATGCGGACCCCCCTCGGTCCTTCAGAAAACATATGGTGCACTTTAAAGTTTTAAGAGGGTTTACGTATAAAACTGGGGCTAATGACTATCAACATTTTTATTATTTTGGCCTTATGGGGTATCCCTTAACACACTACCAACATAGCTTGATTCCAGAAGCCAGCAACAAATCACAGAACACAGGGTATTCAAACAAAGTTTATTCACAATATCCACACATGGATTCACTATCAAGTCTACACCATGTACACTGTTTACGTAAGAGTAGTGAGAGTTGATGCAGGCAGGCAGTTGATGCAAGTCAGTCGTCTTCTAAACTAATCATCTCAGCCTGTCCACTGTCTCCAAGCAGAGCCAGCAGCCTCCTATAGCCATTCCTAAAACAATAAGACAGATTTTTAAGAAGGAGAAAATGAAGCATAGTACAAAGCAAATGGGAATGGATAGTGCTGGTTTTAGCTTAAGTTTCTGCTGACATATAGGTTACTGTACCTGAGTGAGGTATTTTTTCCCAGACCTCTCTTGCACTCTGTCTTTCTAAGGCTCAGTGACAGAAAGGGAATAAGAGCCGTCACTGTGAAGGGGTGAAGGACAGCGACAACTTCTAGAACATTATACACTTGCTGGTCGTATACACCTTCATTATCTTCCACAAAGGCCCTGGGAAAGAAAAAAAAAAAGGTAACAACAGAACGAGAGATTATAGTCTCTAAGGCAGCACTGACCAATGTGAGTAACTTACTGTAGAATAGTAGTGGTGTGTTCACATGGCTGCTCTCCTACCGCAGCAGTGCACCGCTCCACAATAAGCTGCGTAACCTCTGTGCTCAGCCTCTTTACTGAGAGAAACACAACAGGGATTTGATTAAATAAAAACAATGAAATTACATTTACATTTTTTTATCGGGAGCTAGGAGGTCTTTATAAAAGATGATCTCTCTAATTGATGGGTTACAATGTTTAAGCGATGTCTCACTGCTTGCTTGTGTTATTAATGTTTTGGCAAAATAAAGTGTGGGCTTTTAGATGCAAAGGCTGACCATATTGGGCCTGGTGGGTAATGTGGGTGGCCACAAGAAAAACAATATTCCACTTTAATGATGCAGAGGTAATATTTGTAATGCATAACAAATAAAGAGCTATAATGATAACTAAAATCATAGTTAAAAAAAAACGAAATCGCATCAACTCCAAGAGAATAACAGAGCTCACATAAAAACTACCCTACAGGTTGGGTCTGTAAGTTTTTTTTTTTTTTAAGCATTAAATTGATTGAAAGTTACAGTAAAAACTTTTACATTGTTACAAAAATTTCTATCTAAAATAAATGCTGTTCTTATTAACTTCCTATTCAAAAGAATCATGAAAAAAGCATCAATGATTCCACACATATATTAAGCAGAAAATTAAGCACCAAATCAGCATATTAGATTGATTTCTGAAAGATCATGTGACACTGAAGACTGGAATAATGGGTGCTGAAAATTTTGCTTTGCCACCACAGGAATAAATGACATTTTTTATTTGTATTAAAACAGAAAACAGTTATTTTAAGACCTCTTTCAAAAGAATTTAAAAAATCCTGATCCCAAACTTTTGAATGGTACAGGAATCGTATCATACAGAGGAATCAT